TTAGTGAACTCCGAAAATGAATGGGTCTAAGATTAAGAAAAGGCAATGGTGAGATGAATTATATTACAGGGATCCAGGCAGAACAATAACAGATCAGAGTCCAGATCAAATGAGATGTTGGATGGTGGGAAAATACATCCTGGGTATGATTATTTAACTCGGGGAGGTGAAAATGGATAAGACTGGTTTGAACAAAGGATGCTATTGACAAACTTGGAACTTATCGACTTTATATCTCTCACTATGAGAGACCAGGCAAGAAAAATATCTAGAGGAAGATGTTAGAAAAACACAAGTGTGGATCAGAAAGCAAAGGGAAAGTAAAAGAAAAAAAATAAAAAGAACACTGCAGCAAACGATGCAGCCCTGAGCCTGTCAGAGAAGGAAACTTTCCTAAAATGAGCAGGAGTACAGTAGAGGCAAATCCTACAGACTGAGGCAGAAAAAGACAGAATCATTAACTCGGACCAGGAGCATTCAAAAACTGAGGAAAACCATGTCTTCAGGAGGAAATGGCAGTAGTATTGGTCCTCACTGGGCACCTATGAAAAGGAGCCTCAACAACATGAACAGCTAATGCAATTCAGAAATTCACTGAAAGCTATTCTCCCATTGAAACCGATGTGGAGAAGAAGGGAAAGCTGAATCCGTGAAGTATGTTTCTTAGGCTTAAATAATTCTCTCACCACAGGCTGTGACAGCAGCTACTGTGACCCAGGATTGAAAACAGTGCCCCCAGGACGTGGCGATGCTGTGCCACACAAGACAGGGCCCATCGCCAGTTCAGCACGGGGTCTGGAAACATGGAAGTCAGAGTCAGAGGGGAAAGGACATTAAGATGTTTAGGACACTTTACAGAAGGAAAAAACAGCACCTCAAACAAGCCTTTGTGACTCAGCCTGCCACCATGTAAATTTCCAAAGTCGCAAGGATGCAACGTTCTCAGTGCCCTCTTTAAGAATAAGAATAATAATAACATTAGCAGCAATAATAACGATGTTATAATGCTTACCAAGTACCCGGCACTTGTTGTAAGGACTTCACATAGAATTCATTTAGGCCTTACAACAACCTATTAAGATAAGTACTATAATCTCTAATTTTCAGATGAGAACACTGACTCTCAGAGAAACTAATCTGTCCAAGGTCAGACAATAAGTGGCATAACTGGAATATGAACTCTGGCTCCAAAGTCAGAGCACTTAACCAACACTTTGGGCAGCCTCTTAGAGAGAGGAGGCAGTGTGCCCTGGTCAGTTTCCCCCTCAAGACGTTATCAATACATAGTACTATAATTAATGCCTTGGTGGGAGATTGCTTCCCAGTCACAGGTCATAGGCCCTGCTCAACAGCATAAATCAACTAGCTTCTTGAAAAGACTGACATAAAGAATGTTTTCTCTTCTTTGCCTTCCTTCCCTTAGTCTCTACTATGGTCTTTGTCAATAGTGCCAGGGGTCTGGATCATGCCAAATACAGGAGTTTGGAAACATCATTTTGCTAGGAATGGCCACATTAGAAACTGAGGATTGTTGTTCTGAATGTGCTGGGTGTGGTTCTGATGTTGTGATTATCTTTCGGTTCAGTTGGAAGTAGGGCACATGATAAAGCTGGTGTAGACCCAACTCAACTTCTGAGGTCCCAAGGGATGACACCCACAGCAGGAGCCCAGACAGTAGCAACTGGAGAAATTCCCGCTCAAACCAGGCATCTAGAAACCATCTGGCTGACACTGGGAAGAATAAAAAGTAGACAGGAACTTCATTTCTTTGAATTTTAACCTACGGGGTTTGAACTTTTATTGGATTTTAACTTACAAAGGTAAGATTATTTGATTTTTTCACTCACTTCTGTGTAGACTTTTAAAATTTATATTTTAATTTCTTGGAAATTTTTATTCTTGGAATTTAATTTCTTCACACAAAAATTGAAAATGGGCAAGAGTTAACACTCAAATTCAGGGTATCTCTATATTATTGAAATTTTGTGATTGAAACACATTAATCCTGTCATTTGATCTCATTGCAGGATCTGAAGAAGTTGTCAGAGAATATATAGCTATTTTGGATATTGTTGCTGGGCATATTTGGGGGTGGGAAATGGAATAAGAAATGAATGTTCAGTGTTTAATAGCATGACCTTGGAGCCAATTTAATTACTACGCTATTCTAACTCAGTATATTCTAGGGTAAATTTCATATTGCCCACCATGATCTAGAAGGATTCACAAAGGAGCAGGGTTTGGTTATTGGAATAGCAGCCTCTGAAAGTTCACCATACCTAATAATTAAGCCAAAGTTAAGTGAACAAAACTTGGGGTGATCTTAGGGGTAAGGAGAGTGTCATTACACAACTCCATCTAAATCTGACATTAGCTATATGTGTTCTGCCGTGGTCACTGTGCTGAAATAACACCAATTAGCTCATATATGATTGCTAAATGGGGGAATGATGTCAGTACTAAGTGAAAATTTGGTTGGTGAATATGTGCTTTTCTTTGGCAAAGGAGGCCAGGAGAGTAGGAGTAGAATTTTATACTTTAGCAGGAAAGAAAGAAAGACCTTCGTTTGAATGCAGCTCTGGGGTTCCCTTCCTGGAAAGGTGCGCTCCTGGCCCTGCATGACTCTGTGGGAGTTTGGCTTCCTCTGTGACTTCTTAAGGGAAGCCCCGCTGGCTCAAACCTCCAAGTAGATTTCCATCTGCCTTGTCTCACACTCGAGTATTGCTCCTGTGCAGCTTTAATATCCTCTGAAGCAGCACTCTGTTTAAACCCAGGCGGTTTACATTACCTCCTAAGTTAATAATTATTATTTTTAGTTAGTATTCTGGTTTTAAAGATGCACAGGTTTTTTGTTTTGTTTTGTTTTTTTAATATATTTTATATTGATTTCAGAGAGGAAGGAAGAGGGAGAGATAGAAACATTAATGATGAGAGAGAATCATTGATTGGCTGCCTCCTGCATGCCCCCCACTGGGGGTCAAGCCCAAAACCTGGGCATGTGCCCTTGACTGAAATCGAACCAGGGACCCTTCAGTCCGTAGGCCAACGCTCTATCCACCGAGCCAAACCGGCTAGGGCAAAGATGCACAAGTTTTGAATGGTCTTCCTCAACTCCATTTTTCCCATAACCCTATTATTTTGGTGGGAGTCTTCATGCATATATTATGTCCCAGTAGAAATGTTGTACCAGCATGCTGACCATATATAGTAATATGGCATCTTTACTAATGGTAGCTGTCTTCTACTATAGAAAGAATAGATCTATAAAGAAGCCACAGCTAAAGAACTTTTCCACATGTAACAAAATAAATTTCTTTGTTAAAATCTTCTATTTAGAAACCTATGGAGTGTTAAAGGTTTTACTAGACTTGATAGAATGAAGTAGTTTAATATCATATCGACTGTGCTCATTTCTCATAGTATATGAGGAAACTTGCAAGTATATCTAATTCCAAAAAAGAAACAACAGATAGAAAATTTTTATGTGTATTCGTTACTTTTAGTCCTTGATACAATTACACTTCTAATCTATGCTTATAAATAAAAAGTAATTGCTATGATCTTAATATTACACATTATTAAATGACTTTTTCTGATCCAAAACAAAGCAGGCAAAAAATAAAAATAAAAAAGGTTATACATCAAATCAGAGTATTAGCATTTATTTATTTGAATTAAGAGATAACTTTCATCTAACACTTGACCTTTCCCAAGTTGAAGTTCAGAAAACCATCAAACATAAAAGTTTAGGGAACTCAATCATTTGATGCACAAAATCATACTAACAAACAAAGAAGAAAGAAATGCAAAAATCTAATGTTAAGTGACTAGGGTGCTACAGACTGGAAGTTCCTCCAAAAGGATTAGCTTCTTTAAGTATTTTAAGTCCAGTGAATTTGTTATGCTTCCACATGTTAGTAGCTGCATAGGCTAATTTCAGCTGGCATAAGCTTTTATAAGTATGCAAAAACACAAGGCAAGGCATGCATTAAAATGTGATAATATCACACTTCTGGGACACGGGAGCATGAGGCATGAATCCCAATGCCTCTGGCATCCATGAAGTATCATGCCTCAGAGTCAGAGATTTTTCTGTTTGGGTAAGTAATTTTATTATACCACATTTGGAGAGGGGAAAAAAATCAACTTTCTAAATATAAATCTTTCATCTTAACCAGGGTTCTTATAGTTTCAATTCTAGCAATGAACTCAAATCTAAAATTTTGGGTGAGTTGGTAATAATTCAAACTAGATAGGGTCTTAACAAAATTATTAATTAATTAATTAATTAATTAATTTAATCAATGAAAGTTTAAGAGTAATTATAAAATATGGTTGATCACAAAGAAAATTTTAGCCAGCGTGATGAAGGGAAGGGATAAAAATGCAAAAAAACCACAAGAAATCAACTTTAATAATGATACTCCCCCACCCCTAAAAAAAGAAAAAAGGTTTCCCTGTGTTACATATGTCTGTGCTGTGGAGTGAATGTTTGTGTCCCACACCCCATATATTAAAACTTAATCCCCAATGAGATGGTATTTGGAAGTGAATAGGTGATGAGGCTGAAGCCCTTCTGAATGGAATTAGTGTCCTTATACAAGAGACCCCAGAAATCACCCTTGCCCCTTCCACCACATAAAGACACAGTGAGAAGAATGAGGAAACGGGCCCCTCAGCAGACGCTGAATCTACTGGGACCTTGATCTTGGTACCGTTCTCCTTAATTGTGAGAAATAAATGTTTGTTGTTTAAGCTACCCAGTCTATGGTATTTTTATTATCGTAGCCCTAATGAACTAAAACATGCCAAAATAAAAGATTCCCAAAATCTTAATACCCTTTCATGATTTCCCTTTGCACAAGAAAGATATATTATTCATGTTATACTTAAACTGTTTTATTACATCTGTTTTCCTTTTAAATGTATAAAGTAAAAACAAATTATATAAATGTCTTTCATAACATTAGCATCTAGTTTACAAAATCTTTGCCACTTACCTTTTGAAATATCTTTAATTTTTCTGCCATACAAATCAAAAAGATATCTGGCTGGTGAATTTAGGTTCATTCTCATTGTGCAAGTATCTAAAACCTACACAGGAAAAAGAAAACTATAAATAATTTATCACAGTGAACTCTGGCTAAATTAAATACACATTTAGAGTCCTTTCTATATTCATGGCGATTAACAATTATATCATAAAATGAAATTTAATGATTTATAAAATATTTCCAACATGAAATCAAAAGGGAATTAAAACTGTATTTTAAAAATACACACAAATATTAATTTAAAAAAAAGAGAAAGGAGATGCAACCAGCAATAAAAAGTTGTTACATATTATTTAATAAATGAAAAAAGTCTGGGGGATTTTCTATTATTCTTACTATTTTCTATATTTTCCATTTATTTGACAAGAACAAAATATTACTTTTTAAATTAGGTTTTAAGGTACTCTCTTTAGTGTAAATTCTTTCCAAGTGTCCTAAAATAAATTACAAATATAGTTTGATCACAGTTCGCCTTGTAATTTATGTTGTTCGGGTACTAAAAAATGGAATTAATAAACCACATTTCAAGGTTTTCTATTAGCCTGGGTCTCAAGGACCTCACTTTTCATAGTCTCTAATTTGCTCAAGCTTTTTCCTTAATATTTTAATGTCTCCATGTAGCCCTTGTAAAGGTGAGACAATCATCTTTCCAATATCAGGGAAGCAAAAGTTAAACAAGCAAAAGTTAGAAAGTTTTACTCATAAGTGAGAAAAATTAAAGTAACAGAGAGGGTGGAAAGAAAGTATCCGGTAACCTGGGGCAGGTTTCATTAGGATTTTGAGAGTGACTCCCGAAACATAAAACTCGAATGGAATTAATAAACCACATTTCAAGGTTTTCTATTAAAACATAAAACTCCTCCTATTCATTTAAAAGCACATAATATATTCCAAATCCAAATTGAAAGTACCTTGTCTTCCATTTTCACTATTCATTCCTATAACAAGCATGTCAAACGCAAAGGCTAACACGGGCCAAATAAACAAGGTTTAAGTTTATGTGGGCCGCAAAAAAACAAAAGCTTCAACTTTCATAGAAACGTACGTTTATTTCGATG